TTTCTTTCTTTTCTTATTTAATTTTCTCTTCCTTTTCTTACCCGTAATACATTCTTCTTCTTCTTCTTCTTCTTCTTCTTCTTCTTCTTCATTGTTTTTCTTTCTTTCTTTCTTTCTTATTTAATTTCCTCTTCCTTTTCTTACCCTAATCATTTCTTCTTCTTTTCTTCTTCTTCTTCTTGTTCTTTTTACTTTCCCTTTCTTTCTTTCTTTTTTCTTTCTTTCTTTCTTATGAAATTTCCTCTTCCTTTTCTTACCCCGTCATCATTCTTCTTCTTCTTCTTTTCGGCTTTATTTACTTCCCTCTCTTCTTTCTTTCTTTCTTTCTTTCTTTCTTTCTTTCTTTCTTTCTTTTTCTTATTTAATTTCCTCTTCCTTTTCTTACCCTTTCATCATTCTTCTTCTTTTTTCTTTTCTTCTTCTTCTTGTTCTTATTTACCTGACCCTTTTCTTTCTTTCTTTCTTTCTTTCTTTCTTTCTTTCTTTCTTTCTTATGAAATTTCCTCTTCCTTTTCTTACCCGTAATTCATCATTCTTCTTCTTCTTTTTCTTCTTCTTCTTCTTGTTCGGCTTATTTACCTGACCCTTTTCTTTCTTTCTTTCTTTCTTTCTTTCTTTCTTTCTTTCTTTTTAATTTCTTTCCTTTTCTTACCCGTAATAAATTTCTTCTTCCTTTTCTTCTTCTTCTTCTTGTTCGTTATTTACATTTTCATTCTTTCTTCTTTCTTTCTTTCTTTCTTTCTTTCTTTCTTCTTCTTCCTTTCCTTTTTCTTACCCGTTCTTTCTTCTTCTTCTTCTTCTTCTTCTTATTTTACCTGACCCTTTTCTTTCTTTCTTTCTTTTTCTTTCTTTCTTTCTTTCTTATTTTCTTATTTTCTCTTCCTTTTCTTACCCGTAATACATCATTCTTCTTCTTCTTCTTCTTCTTCTTCTTGTTCGGCTTATTTACCTGACCCTTTTCTTTCTTTCTTTCTTTCTTTCTTTCTTTCTTTCTTTCTTTCTTTCTTTCTTTCCTTTTCTTATTTAATTTCCTCTTCTTCCTTTTCTTACCTGACCCTCTTCATTCTTTCTTCTTCTTTTTTTCTTCTTCCTCTTCCTTTTCTTACCCGTAATACTTATTTACCTGACCCTTTTCTTCTTCTTTCTTTTCTTTCTTTTTACTTTCTTTCTTTCTTTCTTTCTTTCTTTCTTTTCTTTCTTTCTGAAATTTCCTCTTCATTTTCTTACCCGTAATTCTTCTTCTTCTTCTTCTTCTTCTTCTTCTTCTTCTTCTTGTTCGGCTTATTTACCCGACCCTCTTCTTTCTTTCTTTCTTTTTTTCTTTCTTTCTTTCTTTCTTTCTTTCTTATTTAATTTCCATTATCGCTTCTCCATTTTCTGTCTAACAGTATTTCTTTTAATGGTTCTTTTCACTTCCTTTCTACTCCTCCCCATCGTTTTTCCTCTTTCTTTAAATTCTTCTTCTTCTTCTTTGCAATCTCTGGTTCTTCCTGCTTCTTTCTTTCTTTCATTTTTTTCTTTCTTACGAATTCTTCTCTTCTTCGTCTTTTGCTCCTCCTCCTTCTACTCCTTTCGCATCTTCTTCTTCTCCTTATTCTTCTACTTCTTCTTCTACTTCTGTCTCATCCTCCTTCTATTCCTTCCTAATACTCTTCTCTTTTCCCCCCTCCTTCTTCTTCTTGTACTCCTCCTTCTACTCCTGCTTCTTCTACTCCTTCCTTCTCATCTTCTCTTTCTCCTTCTTCTTCTGCTCCTTCTTCTTCTGGTCCTCCTTTTTCTACTCCTTCCTCCTCCCCTTCTCCTCCTTCTACTCCCTCTCCGCCTTCTGCTCCTTCTCCGTCTTCACCTTCTATTCCTCCTTCTCCTACTCCCTTCTCCTCTTCTTCTTCGTCTTCTTCTTATTATTGTCATTATTATTCTTATTATTATTGTTATTATTATGATTATTATTTTTCCAGTTTATTTCTATGTCCCTCTTTAGTTTTCATTTTTCTTTTACATTTTTTTTTTCTGTCTTCATTTTTTTTCTCACCTCCTTCTCATCTCTCTCATTCTTCATCTGAACTCATCTTAATCTGTCGTTCTCTTTTCTCTTTTTCTCCCAATATTTACTATTTTATCCCTTTTTTTCTTTTTAAATTCTTCACCTCTTTCTTAATTGACCTACGATTGCCGTCTTCATCCCCACTTGATCCATCAACCATTCCTTCCCATCATTCCTTCCTCTCTTCCTGTACTTCCTCTCTTGTTGATTTCTTTATAGGAAAATAAACGAAGGTCAAGTAGCCTTGTCCAAGTTGAAGATCTCGAATCCTAATACAATGAAGCGAAACAAAGGGCTAATTGATTTCTGCTTCGAGATTTCTATTTTTTCTACTCAGTCTTTGGAGAATTGTCTCTGTCTTTACCGCGAGATGAGAACCATTTTCTTCAGTCGTTTTTTTTTCTCAAGTCTCTTTTTCTTAGTCTGTCTGTTACACACAACCTAAATCAATCTTGACGCCATTTTTTATCGTGCGAAAAAGATTGTACACTTCGAAGTTTGGCTTAATTTCATTTGCTACTTTATACTCGATTCTCCACCTCCAGTTTTGGATTTGTAGTTTTTTTTTTAATTTTCAAGTGCTTTCCTTTCATATTCTTTTATGTTCAAACATTATTTCCTGATCAGTTTGTATCGCTCGTTATTTCGGAAACTGAAAAGAATAAAAATGAATATCAATAAAGTCGAAAAAGAAACATTTACGGCAAAATCCTGACTTGTGGAAACCAATATGCCCTAAGTTAGTTTTATCCACTGTGGTATTAAAGTTCTATAGTCAATTTCTGACCTCCCGGTGAAAAACGTGTACGTACACACACACAAACACACACACAAACATATATATATATATATATATATGCCGGATGTAACAAAAATTTGCCTAAATCGTGTACCAACAAAATTGTCCATTTGTTAGATTAAGCTTTGTACCGTTATATCTTAGAAATGATTAAAGATATCTTACTGGAATTCTCCGAGGTTTTTATAACAGTATTGGACTCTACTTTCGACAATAAAAATCTATTTAGTTCTAAGCTGAAATGAGGATCTCTCTTCCTGTTGTGACCTTCTGGTCCAGATTTCCTCTCTATCGTTCCCAGCTTATTTTTATTTATTTATTTTTTTTTAATTTTCACCTTTCTCTTGATAGTTCTTGAATGAACCTTGAGGAGAGAAGTCAGAGTATGAATGATAGTACCATTACTGAAGGTATGAATGATTTTTTTCCTCTCACCGTTGCTCATCTGGGAAGACATAGTGAGGCTGACACAAAACGATTTTAACCTGTTCCTTTTCGAGCTGAATAACTCAAAGGGCTTTTCATTGATTCTTACGACAAATGGTGTCAAGATGGCTAAATGTCTTTTCGGAAAACCTGGAAAAAAGAACCTGAATTAGCTTAGTGTTTTTTTCAGATATTAAATATTTTTTGGGATGGATAATTATCCCATGCTGTCACACGATTTGGAGAATTTTGCTGTTACACACAGTATATATATATATATATATATATATATATATATATATATATTATTTATTCGAAAATTATAACATAAATATGTCATAAAATCACTACAAAAATAGCCATTTTGTTTCAACACTTTTGGTGTCTTATCAAGTGATGGTGTTGAATGTAGAATAAAGGGTTTTAATAGGTTCAAATTAATTAATCACCCCTCGTAAGGGGAAACGCTGTTACATAAGTTGGAATGTCCAATCAAAATACAAGTATACGAGAATTCAAAAAAGTTGACAACGAAGTAAGGTTATAATGACTATTAAATACTTCAAACTTGGGGTTATACTAAAAAAGAATTTATACTAACTAATAAGTATTAAATTGTACGATAAAATTTGAAATTAAAAATTACCCATTTTAAAATTTAAATTTAATCTCTATTAAGTTTTAAAATTATAAAATTACTGAGGAAAAAAGAAAAAAATACATATGTTATTCTATTTATGTTGTTTTTATAGAAATTAAGTTGGAATGAAGGTTAATATCAAATGTTGTTCTGAGCTTCTTGACAACATAGATACATTTGAATTCTAAATATAGTTAGGGGAGGATGACATCTTGCGAAAGACAATACATACGCAATCAGATTATAATACATAAGCACGCAGACATATTTAGATATATACACACACACAAAGTGACGAGACAGGAAATATCTCCACGACCCTATACAAAAAACTAAACAAAAACAAAAACATACATACACAATGAAAGGTGCATCCAAGTTACTATACACACAGGCATCGATAAAGAAACGTACATACAAATTATAGTGTTTCAAAATAAAATTGTCCGTGTTTTCAAATTTACTTCTCGAGGCCATAGCCCAATAAATCATGCCATTTTGGAATTAGGCCGACCCCGTAAGCGAATTAAAATCATTCGATTCTCAAGTTTTCATTACTGCCATTATTTACGCTAATTTTTACATGTTTTTTTTTTCGACGATAACAATTTTTATAACTTTGAAAAAAATTTGAAAATGATCGAAATATATATATATAAGCCATTATCAAAGATGTCAATTACTGTACAACATATTAAGCAATATATGGACAAGACAGTGATGATAATCTGTGATTGTTTACATGGATGATTTCCAAGCAACGATAAACACGTGCATATAAGAAAATCGTGCATATAAGAAAATAGCACTGCAGCTAATGACGTCACACATGACCACGCGAGAGTGAATTCGAGAAGTATTAAGTATGGGAAGCCGTTGGTATAAACCAATGGTTTCTGTTACCAATTATAGACATTTAAGGATATTTGTTGAGATTCCATAGTTGATTTTGTTTAGGTTAGGTTTCAACTGTTTGATGTATATTGCTTCATGGATTTTGAGCTTTTGTCTATAGTTTTTATGTTTAAGTACAATTAAAAGAATTTACATAAAATAAATAGTCTTGTCTATATTATTTAATGAAACATGTATGAGTGAAAAATGCTGCTTAAATACACACACAATATATATATATATATATATATATATATATATATATATATATAAATGACATATATAAATGACAATAGGAAAACTGTAGTAGTTGCCGACGCGTTTCGTTCAATATGCACTTTCTCAAAAAGCGAAATGAATTTATTTAAACAAAGTAACTAATAATAACAAAAAGCAAAATGTCCTTAGTAACTGGAAGCATTTAGAGAACGCTATTTTTATACTGTTAACTGAAAATTACGTCAATTACTGTCATGTGTCGAGATATTGTTTTTATTGCTGTGTTGACGGATTCAACCATTTTCTTTCTGTGGGAGGACGAATATTCTCTATGAAACTTTCTCGGACATTCAGGCCGGTAAATGTTATTAATAATGTTTATTATAAAACAGAGCATTTACTTAAATATTTGTATCTATAAAAAGAACGTATAAACATAAAAAAAAATGTCTTAAAATAATTGTCGGACTTTGTCCATTTCATAATATATATATATATATATATATATATATATATATATATATATATATATATTGAAAGTAGAAGACAAACCGCTGAACTATGTAAAGTCTTTCACCTATCTTGGTAGCAAAGTCAACTACAGTGGAACTTTAGATGATGAAATCATGCATCGGATTGCTAAGGCCACCAGTTCTTTTGGCAAACATCGCCATCGCTTATGGAATGAGCGGGGTATTCGACTGGATACGAAAATTCGGGTTTACATAGCTGTTGTACTTGCCATCTTTTTGTATAGCTCAGAGTCGTGGACTCCATACAGGTACCATATACGCCAGCTAGATGTTTTTCATAAAAGCTGTCTCCGTGCAATCTGTGGAGTTAAGCTTCAAGATAGGACATCTAACGTAGACCTGTTTAACAGGTGTAATATTGGAGGAATCGAGACTTTTATCATACAGTCTCAGTTACGGTGGACTGGTCATGTCTTGAGAAGGATACCCAAGATCCTAATGTACAGCCAGCTTGATCAGGGCTACAGGAATGTAGGACGCCATGGCTAAGATACAAACAACTTGTCAGCAGTCACTATACCACATAACACCCTTGAGCGCTTAGCCTTGGAGCGGGTAGAATGGAGATCAACGTGTTTTAGTGGACTCAGCAGTTTTCAATTTGCTTGTCTGAATCATCTTCAAGAAGCAAGAACAAGATCTAAAAGGTCAGCCAATCTAACAGCGATCTCATCTCACAATCCATATGTGGCCTCCTTTTTTTAAGTCACTAGCGGGTCTTTAATGCCACTTAGGATTATCGCACAAACTTTCATAACTGAATCAATAAGCTCTCAGATCCTCATACGTCGAAACCGACGGGAGAGTCCGTTATATATATATATATATATATATATATATATATATATATATATATATATATATATATTTTGTTACTGTAAAAATATTTAAAAAACGCTAACAAAATGTTTGGAAATGGGTTAATTGCCGGCAATTAATTAGAAAATCGGGGGCGAAAAGACTTGCTTAATTAAGAGAAATATTTCTTTAATTAGTCGTATTTGGGAATAAAGAAATTGTCTGAATTGGGAATGTAATTCTTTTACTATTTAGGATTAATTAAGATCCAAGAATAGAAATGTCTGTTCACCGAAATCTCTTCATTTTCTGACAGAATGCGAAGAGAGGGTCGCGTCCAGTCCGTATGAAAACATCAGTTTGTATGATTTGTTCAAAGACTATTTCTGCTTCTATCAGGGATATTCTTACTTGGTTCAGTTTTATACATTTAATTGGTACTTTTACTCGTTTACATAATACATGAACCAAGACGGAAGAACGTCATATTACTCCTCCTCTCTACATAAAGCCCGGAAGATAGATAGATAGATAGATAAATATGAACAGACTGAAATGGATAGATAGATATGAACAGACTGAGACAGATAGATAGATAGATAGATAGATAGATATGAAAAGACCGAGATAGATAGATAGATAGATAGATAGATAGATATGAACAGACTGAAATATATAGATAAGAATAGACTGGGGTTGATAGATAAACACATACATGCATATATATATATATATATATATATATATATATATATAGAGAGAGAGAGAGAGAGAGAGAGATAGTTATGAATAGGATTGGATAGAAAGATATATAAATAGATATGAAGAGGATTAGCTAGATAGATAAATAGATAGATAGATAGATAGATAGATAATGAACAGACTGGGATAGATAGATAAAGAACAGATATATAGATAGATAGATAGATAGATAGATAGATAGATAGATAGATAGATATGCAAATCTTTCGTCTGTACCACCGCGGACATGAGCATTTCTTAACAAAAGTTCCCGAACATCCGACCGAACGCGGATTTCCGACAACTTCCATCAGTCTGGCTGTGGTAGTAATCAAGCTCTGGGATCCCTAGAGAGAATTCTAGCGAATAATTACGTCCCAATCACACTGGACAGCGATGGACATCA